GCCCTCCCCCCGGCGCTCCGGCCGGTCGGGGAGAGCGGCCCCGGTCGGGGAGAGCGGCCCCAGCCGGGGTCGCCGCCCTCCCCCCCGGTGCTCCGGCCGGTCGGGGAGAGCGGCCCCGGCCGGGCTCACCGCCCTCCCCCCGGCGCTCCGGCCGGTCAGGAGAGCAGGGCCCTGGCCGGGCTCTCTGCCCTCCTCCCAGCACTCTGGCCGCCTGGGGGCTTTCCGCCCTCCTCCCGGCACTCCGGCCGGTCAGGGATTGTGGGCCCACGGCCGGGCTCAGCGCCCTCCCCTGCCATGCTGAGCTGGCCCTGGGGCCTCAAGAGTTAATTTATTCCATCCCCCTTGCTGTGGCAGGAGTAAGTATATTGAGACCATCCCTGGCAGATGTTTATCTAACCAGTTCTTAAAAACCTCCAATCCTCCAAAGTAATGTTTAGTTTTAATAATTAATTATTTTTATATGTAACACAATCATGAAGGATATTTTTTAAAAATATAATTTATTCTTATTTAATGACATAATTAAGTTTTCCCATCCCTAGTTTCAATCTTGTACCATATTGTGAAAGAACATAAATTTGTTAATGATCATAGAGTTAGCTGAAACAGTTCAAACGTAATCCCTTTGGTACCCTCTGGACAAATGTATACTAACACATCCAGACTAGGATAAGCTATCTTGCACTGTCTGTGTTTGCATGACATCATCATGGCAAGTGAAGACTAATGATGCCAACTGAAAGAATTGAAAATTAGGTGCATGAAGAGGAATTTTGAAGAGTAATAGCCCTAAGATATAAAATAAACAAGTACTTTTTAAAATATATCAGAAGTGGGAAACCTGCAGGAGACTCTGTAGGTCTGTTGGCTACCAGGATGTAAAGGAAGCCATTAAGGCGGATATGGATATTGCAGAAAAAGCTAATTGATTTGCTTGCCTCAATGTATACCATAGAGGATATTAGTAGGATACTTACCGTGGACCTACTGTTTTCTGGTAATAAAGATGAGGTACTAACAGACTCTGAGACATAAAAAAAAAGTAATGGAACAAACTGATAAATTAAAACAACCCAAGTTACTATGATAGGATGGCACACATCCAAGATTTGTGAAGGAACTTAAGAATGAAAGGGCTGAGCCTCCTGTAAAAATATGCCATTTCTAGTTAAAATTGGCTATTGTCCAAGATTGCAGAAAATGTTAAACCTATTTTTAAAAGGTGCTAGGATGATCCAGGAAATTACAGACCAGTAAGATTTATTCTAGTACCAGGTGAATTGGCTGAACAAATTAAAAACAGAATTATAAAATAGCTAGGTGAATAATATGATTGGGAAAAACCAGCACAGCTTCTGTAGAAGAGAACTGTGACTCTCTAAATGATTAAAGTTCTCTGATAATGTCAACAAAAGAGTGGACTAAGATGAATTTGTTGACATAATTTGGATTTTCAAAAAGATTAATAAATTGTCAAATAAGTTGTCCATTTTCAACACAGCAAAAGGTTAACTGTGGCATGTGTCAAGCTTCCATTAGGACCAGTGTTTATTATATTTAGTAATGATTTGGGAAAGGGTTAAACAGTGGGATAGTAAATTTGCAGATGACACACAATTATTCAGATTAGTCAAGACTCAAAAAATCAGACCTTTCAAGAGATTTAACAAAAATGAGTGAATGGGCAGAATGATGACAGATTAAATCAGTGCTGACAAACACAAGTGATGCCCAAAGGAATTCCTGTTCAATGTGTAGTGGTATACTAACACAACAACAGCAACCACATTGCTATGAGGAATAAGGAATGGGATAGATGATAATACTGGAAATAATAATGCTATTATATAAATCAATCCTACCACTTCAACTGGAATGTTAAATTCTGGTCTGTCTTTCTCAAGAAAGGTAGAGCAGAAATAGTGGGGGTTCAGAGCAGGAAGAGTGAAAATGAACAGAGGCATGGAAATATTTCCTTATAAAGAAACATTGAAAATATTGTTTCATTTAGAAACAGGATGAATAAGAGGGGACATGTTAGAATTATACAAAATAATGAATGGTATAAAGAGGATAAATTATGCATTCCTTGTTTTCACATTATGAGAAAGAATACATAGGAATGATTCAATTATATTGACAGCAAATTTCCAACTGATATATGTAGATATTTTTATAGAAAATATAATTTATGTATGGGACTCATTGCCCCAAGGTATCATTGAGATTAAGAGCTTTGTAGGATTAAAAAAAGGAATGGATATTTATATCGATGAGAATATTCACAGTTACATATAGAATGTTGTGTGTTTGGGGAGGAAGGCTATAAATCAACAGTCCTTAGAAAATAACGGACAGAGGTTAGGACAAAATTTCTACAAGAAAGTTATTCCATAAATATCCACGAAAGAGTTCCTCTAACTTTCTTCTGAAGCATCTTTTACTAGCACTATCTGAGACAGGACACTGGATTAATTGGAATGCTGGAC